TTTTTTTTATTATAAGTATTATATTATTATATTATTATAAGTATATTATTATAAATAGTAACTTAATTAACAGAATAATTTTATTCAAAGAATAAAAATATTGTCAGCACGCAATAGCAATGTAAAACAGAAAAATGTATACGAATTATACGAAATGAATACTTATACGAATTAATGGACATAAAATGTAATATTAATCCGATTAAATATCAATATTAAATTTTGACTATTATTTCTATTAAACTTTAAACTAAATGGCTTTGAATATTGTACAAATGGAACATCTGAACTGATATTTTTATATATTTTATGATCTCGAAGAACCACTTATTGTGATAAGACTGATGTTTAGTTTGTAGTATGATGGTTTATATTGAGTGAACGAATGGTGATTTAATTGCTTTTTAATTGCTCACAGCTAATTGACTGCTTTATAATAATTCTAATTGTGTACTTCGATGTGTATCGTTCTATCTGATCTAAATTCTATTTTTTCTTTTTTTTTTTAATTGATCTGATTTAATTGATTTGATTTAGAAGGCCACGGGTCTGGATTTACCTTCAATCATTATTTTCCGTGAAAACGCAAACTAAGAGAGGAGAAAGGGTTTCAGTAACCAATAGTCGCGATTGAAGGGCGGTTTCGAAGGATGGGCCTTCGTCAAGTGGTGACGCAGTGCGTGAGAATCAAAACCATCGCTATCACTTCCATGATAGTTTGTCGCAAAGCACCAAGCGCGCAATCGTGATTTGGGAAATAGCCATTGTTCTTATATTTCTATTTAAGTTGAGAACCTAAAAACTGTACCTACTTATAAATTACTGTTAGATTATTGAAAATAAATAAGAAATAAATAAGATGAAAAAATAATCCTTAAATAGATTAAAATTTAATTTTAACATAATAAAATTACTCCTTTTTAAAAAATCATAAATCTATTCCATAGTTATATTATGACATAGTTATATATATATTTAGATATCATAATATTATTATATTATATACATATATTATTTAGATATCATAATAATATTATAAAAAATTTAATTAAAAATTAAAATTTATAATTTTCCAAAATTAAAAAAATAATTTATTATTTATTGCTTCT